ATTACAGGTATGCACCACCATTTGTTCATGGGATGCTGACGACTGAATGAGGACTTTGTGTAAGCGACACAAACAGTCTACCAATGAGCTATGACTACAGCCTTTGCTTACTCATCTACCTGCTTTACTACATACAGTTGAACACTTATTGTTACATGTTATGCCCATGACTGGGATCGGGTTTCGGACAACTGCAATTCTTCTTCTTCTGTCTATTGTTTGTTTGTTGAGACAGGGTTTCTTTGTGTAGTCTTGGCTTTCCTAGAACTAGCTCTGTAGACCAGGCTGACCTCCAACTCACAGAGATCCACCTGCCTCCGCTTCCCAAGTGCTGGGATTAAAGGCGTGCGCCACCACCAGCTGGCTTCTGCCTGATTTTGTATGGTTTGCAGGCTAAGGATGGGTTTTACATTTTTAACTTTCTGGTAGAAAAAAGAGAGAGAGGAATATTCCACGACACTTTATGATTTGAATAAGAAATGTACCCCCACAGGCTCATATATGGAAAGTTTGTTCCCCAGCTGGTGGTGTGATTTTGAAAGGTTCTGGAAATTGTAGGAAGTGAGACTTATCTGAAAGAAGTAGATGACTTGAGGATATGTCCTTGGATATATTTTGTCCTGGCCTGGTCCTCATTCACTGTCTCTGCTTTCTTCCTACTTTGTCCAACTCAACACTTGGTGTTTATGATGGTGGTGAGGGGTGTGTGTGTGTGTGTGTGTGTGTGTGTGTGTGTGTGTGTGTGTATGTGTGTGTGTGTGCGTGTTCAGATGTACACACAGGGGATGAAGAGATAGCTCAGTTATAAGTGTATACTGCTCTAGCCGAGGACCCAGATTCAGTCCCAGCACCCATATCAGGCAGCTCACAAACTCCTGTAACTTCAGCTCCAGGGGATCCAACACCCTCTTCTGTCCTTCACAGATGTGTGCACACTCATGTACACATACCCCATACAGATACACATACACACATACTTAAAAATACAAAAAAAAATTTAAAGGACAGAGAAAGAATAGGGTGGGGGTGGGAGGTCTGGTGGGAGGTTCCCATTCACTCTCCACCCTATTCTTTGAGGCAGAGTCTCTCACTGAACTAAGCTCATTATTCAACTAAGTCAATGAAGTTGAGGGACCACCTATCTCCACCTCCCCAGTGATAGAGTTCCAGGCATGTATTGCCATACGTACTGTATTTTTGTTTTTGTTTTTATTTTGGTTTTTCGAGACAGGATTTCTCTGTGTAGCTTTACGCCTTTCCTGAAGCTCATTTTGTAGACCAGGCTGGCCTCAAACTCACAGAGATCCACCTGGCTCTGCCTCCCGAGTGCTGGGATTAAAGGCGTGCGCCACCAACGCCCAGCTTGGTTTTTTTTAAATATGGTGTTATGGATCCAAATTCAGGCCCTCAGTCTTACAAGGTACCACTTCACCAGCTGAGTTGTCCCCCCAGCACAAACCACATGCTTTTCCTTCCATGACCCTTCTGCCTCACCACAGGCCACAGCAATGGAGCCAGACAACCCACAAAGTGAAGTCATATTATTTTCTTCCTGGAAACTGTTCATCTCTCAGAGTGAGCTCATCCAGGCAGTAAGGGGTTTGAACCCACATCTCTCTGGGTTTACAATATCTGGCTCGACTACTACAACCCTACAAGCTTGAAAGCATATGAGCAAACACCCTGGCAGGGTAAACACATCAAAATCTACTCAATGAATTCAAGAAAGAGATGCAGTCAAGACGTGGTGGTCTACACCTAGAATCCCAGGACTAGGGAGGCTGACGGAGGTGGATCGCCATGAGTTTTAGGCCAGTCGGGCCTACATAGAAAAAGCTTGTCTAAGCCCCTCCTATGCGTATGCTGGTTATTTCACCTGGGAAGAGAGAATTTTTAGATAATTTTTAAAAAATTTAAGTATGTTTCTTCTGGCCCGTGTAGGCCAAAAGAGGCGGTTAGATCCTACAGAGCTGGAATTGGGGGGGGGGGGGGGGGGGGCTTGTGAGCCACTCAATGTGGATGTTGAGAACCAAACTCAGATCTTCTGGGAGAAGAATTAAGAGCTCTTAACTTCGCAGCCTTCTCTCTAGCCCTGGGAGGAAGGGAGTTTTAGTGAAGAATTATCCAGATCGGGCCGGCCTAAGCAAACATCTGGGGGTTGGGAAGAATTGTTTGAATATTAATTGAGGTGGGAAGGGCCATCCTGAATGTAGGCAGTACCGTTTCATGGCCTGGGCCCCGAGCTATACGACAGTAGACAACACTAGTTGAGAAAGCAAGCAGGCAGCATGGGTGCCTTCATTTTTCTCTGCTCTTGACTGTGGATGTGATACCACCAGCTGCTTGGGCGCCTGCCTCGCTTTTCTCGAAGTGGTGGACTGTAAGCAGGAATTGTAAGCCAAATAAACCCTTTCTTCCTCTAAGTTATTTTTGGTCTGTGTGTTTTATCACGGCAAAAGAAATCAAACTAGAACACCATCACCAACACACACACACACACACACACACACACACACACACACACACACACACACACGGCTCTGACTTCCAGCCCCAAAGGCATCATTAATCTGTGGTTTGACCTTGGGCAGACAGTTACTGGTTCAGTGGAGGGCGGATTTTAGAATCAGAATTCTCTTGGTTCAAAGCCTAGCTCTGCCATTGACTGGCTGATTCGACCGGCTCCATTCCTGTGATCTGCAAACAGTGGGACTTGATACACAACGTCCTGGGCAGATTGACTAAAAGTCCCCATGGGATCCACTCTTGCCCCACTTTCTCTCTCTAGGCTACTATTTTTCCATCTCAGAAATGATGAGCCCTTTCTGCTCTGACACTCTGGGATCGTGATATCCAACATGTCTTATTTTAGCTCAGTGTCTGGCTCCAGTGCCGTGATTTGAGTCTGCACAGAGGCTGCACCCTGCTTTCCCTGGAAAAGGTCTCCTCAGGTTAGGGTGAAGGCTTGGGGGAAGGTTCGGCCTCCAGAGAGCTGGGAGAGGAGCAAGGATATCTTTCTATAACACAGTGAACTGTAAAGATGGACCCACTCAGGCTGTGGGGAGCAGAGTGAAGGAGAAACACGCCATAGGTTGCATGCATGTGTATATGTATATAGAAAATATCAGCTCAAGGGGCAATGGAGATGGCTCAGTGGAGAAGAGTGCTTGGTGTTCAAGCATGTGTACCTGAGTTTGAATCTCTAGCACCCATGTACAAAGCAGGATGTGGCTACCCATGTCTGTAACCCTAGCATTGGGGAGTTCGGGCAGAGACAAGCAGATCCTCTGACCACACTGAAACAGTCTAACTGAAATGGTGAGCTTCCCAGGTAGGAATATAGCCTTTATCAAGGCAATAAGACAGAGACTGACTGAAGGACACCCAGCATCCGCTCTGGCCTCTGCATGTCCACGCACAGGTGCATGGATGCACATGCATAACACACACACACACACACACACACACACACACACACACACACACACACTAAAATATCAGTCAACTGGAAGAATCTGGTTTGAGTTAAATTAAGAAATGGTGAATTAATTTGGATTAGGTTGGAGAAATAAGTCAGAATGAATTGGGGTTAGTTGGACTGGACTGATGGGATGAAGTACATTGGAGCTACAGTAAGCTGATCTAGATTGAACTGGATTGGACAGAGCTGGAAAGCTAAGACTCCCCAAAGAATGTCGCTTGGATCTCTGGACACTGGCATCATCCGGAAGCAGTTTGCACCGGTGACTTGGGTGTACGGATCTTAGAACCCTAACTTCATCAGGTGACTGCTAACAACGCCCCATGGAGTTTTTAGAGGAGGGAGTGTGAGATCACACACGCTAAAGATAAAGAGCCTTGCACCTCAGGAGACAGAGGGAGGTGTAGATAAAACCTGCGCTCCAGCTAATGGCATGCACTGTGAAGTGCTGGTGGTGAAGGACACCAGAAATACACCTTGAAATGCTTAAAAAAAAAAGAGAGATAGGTAGGTAGGTAGGTAGATAGATAGATAGATAGATAGGTAGGTAGATAGATGATAGATACATACATACATACATACATACATACATACATACATACATACATAGGCAGATAGACAGCTTAGATAAAGGGCTTGGATATAGCTCAGATGGTACAGTGCCTGCCCAGGTGCATGCAATCCTGGGTTTTATCTCCAGCACCATATAAACTGGGTCTGATGGCATGTGCCTGTATTGCTAGTGCTCGGAAGGTGAAGGCAGGAGGCTCAGAAGTTCAAGGTCATCCTCAGCTCCACAGTGAATTTAAAGTCAGCCTGACCTGTTTGAGACCCTGTTTCCAAGAATGCAGAAGGAAGAATAAAGAAAGAGAAGAGAAAGGAAGAGGAGGGGAAGCAAGGGAAGAAAATGGAAGGGGGTGGGATGAGAGGAAAGAAAGACAGAGGCAGAGGTACAGATAACGGAAAATATAAACCCAGTAACAGATCATCAACTGACTGGAATTGACGGGCCCATGTTGCTCACTGTGAAACTCTTGTCTGTTTGTTTGTGGAAAGAAAATTAAAATAATAAAATGTTGCACCCAAAATAAAGAGCTCTGTAAACTGCTAATTGCTAAAATAACAGTGCTGGCTAAAAATACAACTTCTGGAGGCGAATTACGTGAGTTTGATTCCCAGCTCTGCCCCTCACTCTTTTGGCCCCGAGCAAATGACTTCATCCCTCTGACTGGTTCCTTGCATATCTATAAAATGGGGCTATTAATAGCCCTCACCTCATGGACTTCTATCAGAACAGAGCCTGGCACCTAATTAAGCAGGTACCTGCAGTTTAACCCACTAAACAACACAGTGCATGGGCACTATGCTGTCTCTACTTTACAGAGAGATCCTACACGCCTCTTGGGGCACAGCAAATAAACCACTCAGTGCAAGAAGGTCCCTCCCTAGCTCCTGGAAGTCAAAACAATCTCTCACCCTCCTCACCCCCCTGCCCCAGCCCACAGTTCCTTGGACTCACCTGATAAAATGAAAAAGATGCCAGACACAAAGGCCAGAATGGTCCTCTGAGGTCGGATGTGGCCGATGTTGCTGATGACGAAAGCGGTGAACACAAGGAAGAGACTGACCATAGGAAAGGGAGTAGCCGTGCGCACTGTCTCTGGGGGAGGTGGACAAGGAGAAGCAGGGGTGAGGGACAAGTCTCCAGCGAGGCGCCTCCCCATGCCCTTCCCTTTTCTTCCCTTTAGCATCTCCCCTTTCCCACCTACTCCACCCCATGGTTAGCTATGTCCTCTGCTGACTCCACTCTCAACCAAACCATCCCCTTGGTTCACCCCCTCCCCTCTCATGCAGATCCCTCCCTATCCCAGGCAAGATATTTCTATTTGCCTTCTTCTCTCCCAAAACTCTTTCTTCTTTCAACCCTCTGCCCTTTGTGTGAACCCACCCTTTTCCTACCCAATCCTGTCCTTTCTCCCCAAACCCTCTTGTTGCCTGGGCCCCTTCCCTGCTCCCCCTCACTCAGAATATTCTCTGTGTTTTCCGTCACCAAGTTGATCTCTGGTTCAAGAAAGTACTCGGAAGCCACACAGCGACCCTTCTCCCGACCTGGTGGGGAGGAAGATAAGAAAGCATGGGTGGAGGAGAGGCTCCAGGCCTCAAGGGAGGCTATCAGGGACAGAACAGGGCCCAGGATGGAAATGGGAAATCTCACCCAACATTCACAATCTGCACTGCTCGAAGGGCTGGAGACAATGGGCTGAGCCAATTGAGGCCTGGGCATAGAGGACTGCAATCATACTGGGGAGTTTGAGGCAGGAGGATTATAAGTGCAAGTCCAGTCAGGCTACATCATGAGATTCAATCCAGCCTGGGCAATTTAATAAAGTCCTGTCTCAAAATAGGAAGTAAAGAGAAAGCTAGGGATGCAACTCAGTGGTAGAGCACTTGCCAAGCAAGCATGCAAGAGGCTTTGGGTCCCATCCCAAGTACTAAAAAGTGAATAAACAAGTAGGATGGGGGAGAGCCACAGTGTTGGAAGATCTTGATTGCACTGGAGATTGGAGGGTGGAGGAGGGCAGGGCTGGATTTTAACATCCTACATGAGGAGAGAGCTGTGAATGAGGACTCCTGGATTCCTAAGGTCCAGGGAACGGGGGTTCCAAAAGTAAATAGTCTTAATTAAGTTCAGCTAGAAGGCCTGGAGTCTTCCCCAGTACCCGGGAAACACTGGAACTGTCCAAGGAATAAATTCTGAATCTAAACTGTTGACTGCCTTTGTTTTCTGTGTATTTTCTTTTCGTTTTTGAGACAGACTTTTGTATCTCAGGCTGGCTTTGAACTCTCTCCATAGCTGAGGATGACCTTGATCCTCTTGCCTCTGATCTCCCAGATGCCATGATTATAGACATGTACCCTTGCATGTAATTTATGAAGTTCCAGGCATCGATCTCAGGACTTCCTGTGTGCTAAACAAGCATTTGACCAATTGCGCTTCCTACAGCTCTAGCCCTAAGATTCTGACTTTTTTTTTTTGATTGTCACTTTAAAAATTATATTACTAATTTTTAGGGGAGACAGGTGTGAGCATGCCAGTGTGCAAGTGTGGAAGTTGGAGAACAACATTCAGGAACAGATTCTCTCCTTCCGCCCATGTGGGTCTGGGGATGAAACTCGGGTCATCAGAATGATGCTAAGCACCCTATCCACTGAAGCATCCCCTGACCCTAGGCTTATGACTTCTAACAGAGTTCTTGAGAGTGGGGGAAATGTTAGAGACGTGGATTTTGAGTATCTGCGCTTCAATATCTAGGGAATAAAGGGATAGGCATGAGGATTCTGTGCTGAAATCTAACTTCTAAGAGAGAAATAAAAACAACTTCTGGATTATTGGAGTCTAAGATATATGACTACAGATAAAGACTTTGGGGTGAGTGAGGGCGGGGGGGGGGGGGCACCTGCAAAGAAGCAGACTCTCCAGAGGCCAGCGTGCAGCGCCATCTTGACCTCGGTGGTCTGGTTCTGCGGCAAAACGGTCCCCTCCTCCATGTACAGCCAGTAGTCCGTGCTGACTGCGATGCCCACAAGAAGCAGGCCGCAGGCACCAAACACACTGCTCAGCAGGGTCAGGGCACGGCTGCTGCAGTGACTCATCCTGAGCGGCGGGGGGCGCCCTGCGGGGCCTGTGGAACCAGAAGCTACAGTAGAGAGTGCCCAGGGTCCCCAGCTCCATGCAGCCATTTGGGACATTAGTTCTGGTCAGAGACAGAAACTCCAAAACCAAACTCCCAAGTGTGATTTCTGTGCTGTGACCCACCATCCCAGCCCTGAACTCTGAACAGAGATACAAATGTTGACTCCAAACCTCCATATTGGGCTTCCCTGACCCATCACCATGCTCTGTCCTCATGGATACAGATCCTCAACTTAAGATAAGACATGCAGCCACAGTCTTTAAGTCAAACCTGAAGATGACTCTTGACTTGAGCCATGTCTAGACCAGAAATCCAAAGTATCAGGATTCTGATTCGAATCCAAATTATCAACCCAAGACAGATTCCCCTAGATCCAACTTCCAATGTTGGCTTGCAACCCCAATTTGAGAAGCCCGACCTTAGCAGAGTCTTTAACCTTTGAAGTACGCCAGTGACTCGGAAACTACCCTAATCAACAGCTTCAAATTTGGACCTGATACCTCAACCCTGACTCTGTGCCCTGATTAGCCCTCAGCTGTGAGCACTAGACACCACCCCCCACAAAAGACCTGCTATCACATTTTAAGCAGAACTGGAGTACTAGATTTAGACACTGAATTATGGACAACTTGATTTATTCGGAAATTCTATCCCATGCTACCCAGCTTTAACTGTGTGCTATGACCTGTATAGTGAAATGTTTCCTGTAGAACCTGTCTCTAAAGCACATCTGATAATCTCCAAAGTAGGTCACCACTCAAAGCTCCCTAACCTCATACCCTGGACTCCCACACTTGACTTCAGGCCTATGAAAGTCCTTCTGAGTTGACACTCTTAGACGCTTATCTTCACCTTACAGTCAGCTGTAATTTTTTAAAATCACCCTTGTGTGTCTGCGTGTCTGTGTGTGTGTGTGTGTGTGTGTGTGTGTGTGTGTGTGTGTTCACGTGTACGAGTATGAGGAGACATCTGTGGCGGTCAGAGGACAACCTCAGGTGTCTGTCACTTTCCACCATATTTGAAATAGCACCTCTTATCTGCACCTACATATGCCAAGCTAGCTGCCATACAAATTTGAGCCGGGGTTCTTCTGTCTCCATCTCCCATCTCATCATAGAAATGCTTTCATTACAGATACATGCTACCAGGATCAGCCTTATGTGGGTTCTAGGACTCTGAACTCGGGTCCTCACACTTCTGTGGCCAATGTTTTATCCTCTGAGCCATCTTCCCAGGTTGGGATCAAATCAGTTGTACAATCTCAGATCCAACCCTTAATCCTACCCTTCCAGATCCAGGCATGCCCCCGAACCTGAGGTGCTGGAATATGTTCCAGGACATTAGAGCCCAGAGATCTGAAGCTACGACCTGGATTAGAGATTCTAGACTACCAAGAGCTTGAGTTGGGCCCCTCCAACCCAGCATTCCCAACTAGAGAACTCCAGTAAAACCAAGGTCCTGCATCCTGAAAACAAGAAACCATCACTCTGAACTGACTGTTCTATCAGGAATTCCAGTACACCCCACCCCATTCCCCAAATTCTACCAAACTCTGGACCCTGATTTCCCATGCTAGAACTTTCCAGTCAAGTTCTACTCCAAGGAAGAAATACCTAGTCAGTTTATATCTGAGACCTCCCAAATTCCAATTAGGAGCTCGGAAGTGCTAACTAGGGAGGGTCCTGAAGGCTCCCAAAATCTTTTTTATGTATGTAGTGTGTGTGTGTGTGTGTGTGTGTGTGTGTGTGTGTTACCTCCATGGCACTAATGTGGAGGTCAGAAGACAACTTTCCAGAGTTGGTTCTTCCTTCTCCCTATATGAGTCTGAGGGGTCTAGCTGAGGTCATCAGCTAGACTGGCCGGACACTCAGAAGCAAGCACCTTTACCCCCTGAGCCATCTCAACAGCCCCCAAATTCTTTATCTACACTTACACACCCACTTGCCGCACAAGAAATCCCTCCTTGTCACAAAATTCCATGCAGGACTCATCTTGGTGTCCCCAATTTACCTCAGCCAGAGTCTCAATGACCAGAGGCACTCATTCCCCTTCAAAAATAAATGTGTGTGTGTGTGTGTGTGTGTGTGTGTGTGTGTGTGTGTGTGTGCGCGCGCGCGCGCGCGCGCGCGCGCACACACAGGTATGTTCAGGAAAATGCAGGTGCCTGAGGAGGCCAAAGTTGAGAGATCCCGGTGGAAGAGAGGCCAGAGGTGATGGATATTCTGGAACTGGAGTAACAGATAATTGTGAATCATCTAATATGGGTGCTGAGAACCAAACTCCAGTCTTCTGGAAGAGCAGCAAGTGTTCTTAACCACTGAACCGCCATCCTTCCAGCTCCTACCCATCATCTTTTTTCATTATAAAGTTTGAGGCACCTCCCCCAAACATATCCCCAACAGAACAATAAAGACGACATGAGACTCCACTTTCCACATTTCCTCAGAGTTCTGTGAGCATTAGGAATCTACCTCATCCCAGTAAGACCCTAGAATCAGAGTCAGCCCCGACATCCCCGCACTTCAAGCCTCCAGAACTCCTCCCGTCCAACCTCAGCCTCGTGGACGACCCAACGATCTAGATTCTGTCAGAGCTCTGGCTAGCTTTTCCTCCCTTCCCCCTTCACGTAGCTCTGAAGCTTGACCGCCAGCTGCCTGCTCCGCTTCCAGTCTTCGGCTCATACAAGCATTATCCACCCCGTCACCCAGTCACTGGACGGTCCAGGTAGCTGACCTCAGCCTCCGGCTCTGCTCCTCCGACTGGACTCACGGTGGTTCCCCTCACTTCTCACATTAACCCCACTCCTTCTCCCGTCCAGTTCATCCTCTTTCTACCTGACCCACTCCGAGCTCTGGATCTGCAGCCATTCCTCCTCTGGGACACCCCCACCTCCACCACTACCAGGCCTGGAATCTCCTTCTGGTCTGTTACCCCAGCGTTTCCGCGATCTGGATATTTGAATGGCTGAAGTTTCATTCCTCAAAACCCAAGTCAAAACTCCATCTCCCAGACCGTAACTCTTCGCTTTTCTAGGGACCCTTTCCCAGACTCCCGGCCTGGGCCCTCTGCCTTTATCGATTACCGCCTTCCTCAAAGACCCTGCCTAGACCCTGCCCAGTGGCGATGATCCCAGAACTCAAACACCACGACTTTGTTTTCTAACTCCCGGACGGACCCTCGGACCCCAGTCCTCCGGGATCCACCAGGCCCAAATGTCCCTCAATCCACCCAAACCTTCCCAAATCCGACACCGGAACCCCCAGGATCCCACTCCTGGAGCCCTTCTAACCTCCCGGAGCCCCAACTCCGGCTGAGAGTGGTCTAGCGCGGAGCCCCCTGCCTTGCCGGACCCTCCCCTCGCGCTTACCTCTCTCAGGGCTTGGCGGACGCTCCGGGCCGCGGGCCCCGCAGCCGCATGACCGGCCCCGCGGTTTCCCCCGGCCGCCGCCGCCGCCACCGGGGTCTCCGGTGCCCGCGCCCCCCGCCCCCGCCCCCGAGCCCGGCGTCCCGGCCCCCTCCCGGCCTCCCACCCCCCCACCCCCCGCGCCCGCGGCCTCACTCGGCGGACGCAGCCGGGAGCAGGGACCGGCGGCCGCTCATTGGCTACTGCGGAGGAGGGGAGGGGCGGGGAGGTAGGGGGAAGGATGCAGAGAGGGAATGAGATGAGCCTTCAGGATGGGGGGGAGGCAGGGAGGGAGAGAGAATAGGAACAGAGGCAGAGAGCCCGAGAGAAAGAGAGAGAGAGAGAGAGAGAGAGAGAGAGAGAGAGAGAGATTGATTCTGAAACTCACGAGTCCTGAGACTGGAGGAGACAGACAGAAAAGGAGAGACAGAGATGGAGTAGTTTCAGGTGTCCCCACCCCCACCACTACAGAGGCTCAGAAATGCTGAGGCCCTGGAAGTGGAGAGGTCAGAAAGCCCCAGAAACCAGGCAAGGAAAGCTCAGAGGCCTTGGGCCAAGGCAAACTGAAATCCAGGGATCTTGAGCTTGGAGATGGGGTGGGGGAGACAGAGAAATAGAGATAGATGATAGATAGATAGATAGATAGATAGATAGATAGATAGATAGATAGATACTCTCTGAGGAGAGACAGCAGGGGCAAGCCGGAATGGGGGGGTCCCCTGATGAGGACTGGGGCTGGAGCCGGGCAAGGGGCGGAGCCTGGGGTCTGGGCAGCTGGAGAAGGCGGGAAGGGGCGTCCCGGGCCAGGGTCCCTAGAGCAGCGGGCGGGCAGGCGCAGAGCAGAGCCGGGTCCTGCAGCCGCCGCGGAGCCGGGAGCGGGGCCAGTCCCCCCCCCCCCCCGCCGTGATGTCAGCGGGGCCACTCTTAAAGGGGCAGGCCGCCCGCCGAGGGTCGGAATTTGGGCTGGGGCCTTCAGGAGCCGGATAGGGGTACAGAAGTGGTGATGCCGATGAAGGGGACAGCTTCAGCATCGAGTTGGAGCAGGACTCGGAAATCCAGAGAAGAGGAGATGCCAGGCCCTCAAAGGAACCTGCTAAGCTTTTGAGGCTCTGTCCCCTCCAAACACACTGACAGGCACACCATTCTGCTGCCCTGCCCTATCCAGAGACTACATTCCCCATCAGCCCTGGCGGCCAGAGGCCAGCACCTGGTGGGGGGGGGGTCAGGGTCTTCTCCGATGTCTTCTGGGAAACGTAGTCTATCTTGATTGGCCCCCTCCACTCCCCGCTCCCCTCCACACACACTTGCAAGTGGGTCAGGGGAAAAAAGGACGGGAGGACGCTTCTGCCTCGCTAAGCGGTTTCTAAGCTTCCAGGTTCTGATTGTCTCGCCTTCTGTAACATGGGGTCCTTTCTTCTGATCATGTCTGTCCCTCCCTCCATGGGAGGCCAGCCTTTCATCTCCCTTCCCAGGACTTCTCTAGATCCCAACGTGTGTGTGTGTGTGTGTGTTTGCACTTTGCTCTGGGTGAATATGCACGTGCGGTATCTGGGTGGAGGGTCGGTCAGTTGCTGACACAGTTAATGGTCAAGGGGTGTTCTTCCTCGTTAAGTATGTGACTGAAGTGGTCACATTGGTCTTCTCTGAAAGAGTTTCTGCATGTCGCTCACATGCCGAAGGTGTCTTGTCTTTCATGTTGTGGGTCTATGCATGCTCTCTCCCCCACCTCTCTCCACACCCCACTATGTTTGTTTCTATGTACAGCCGGCCCACCTCCGCACCCTCTTCATTCCCCCAAGCTTACAAGAAAACATCCAAACATTTTAGCATCAGCATCCCAAATTTATTCTCCAGCAGCTGTCTGGGTGGGGGAGGCTAAAGGAAGAGAGTGGGGGAGAAGAAAATCCCAGAGAGTGGCAGGCACTGCGGAGGACAAGGGGGAGGGGGTGTGATTCCGACCAAGGCTGGAGCCATGCACGGGGCAGGAGAGCAGTGATGGGTTCTGGGACATGTCTAGAACAAAAGCTGCCTGACAACAGTCGGGGAAAGAACCCTCCGTGCATGCCAGGAATCCCCAGCGCGTGGAAGGGAGGTGGCCTGGAACACGGAGCCCGGCCTCCCACTTAACTCTACAACTGAAATGGAGGTAGGAGGGGCCTTGAAGGATGCGGGCGGGCTGATCTGGAATCTTAGTCTGGAGCAGGCAATCTCATGAGACTATTTCCCCCAGGGTGGTGTAGGGGGAGAGAAGGCATAAAACTACCAAGATGAAGTCTAGAACCCCACACGAAGTAGGGTTTCTGGGAACAGTTGGAACAGCATCCAGATGTTGGGGGTGGGGGTAAAAAACAAGGCTCGGCACAACGGAATCTAGAACACAGAAAGGCTCTAGAGACTGTATGGCGTTTAAAATGCCAGCAATGCTTGGGAACAGCATCTAGAACCCGTTGGGGTGCGGGAAAGAGGCCAGAAGGCTGGGGTGCGGGACCTAGAATCCGGACTAGAGGTTGGGGTGGGGGTGGGGGTGGGGGCCGCAGCCGGCGTGGCGGAGGGGGGCACTGGGGACACCTAGCGGCGGCAGGTGAGATTACATGACAGGCACGGGCACTGGGCTTGTGGGGCTACGGGCATCTGGGTGCACGAAGTCCGGGTTTACGTAGGTAAAGCCCTGGAAATCCGCTTGGTCGATGCTGGCTAGGACCAGGCGGTCTGGCGGGGTCAATGCTGGCGCCGCCCGCGTGAAGAACTTGTCAAAGTTTTCGCCACTGCGCCCACACTGTGATGGGAACGGATGGAAAATTAAGCTCTGATAATCAGAACCTATGCACACCCCCCGTGGTCTCTGATGCTCCCAAAGGGAGCATCTCTGCCGAAGGTTCCCCCCCACCCCAACCTCCACATACAAGTACTGAAGCTCGGGAGGCCCAGCCCCCGGGGATGGAAGCTGGGACAGCGACTGACCGGACGTGGTCTGAACGGCGGTGCTATCTCCAGTCTCTCCAGCCTCTCCCAGTCGATCCAGCGGAAAAAGCCGTGTGCCCGGATGGTGGGTTCACCATCTGGCCCTGAGCCCAGGCGCTTTCCCGGGTGCTTGGTCAGGAACTGCGGAAGACACACAGAGAGGGCCTGCCAGATAGCTCAGTGAGCAAAGGCACTTGCCACCGTGCCTGAGAGATGGATGACCTGAGTTTGATCCTTAGGACTCACATGATGGAAGGGTAGAAATGACTCTCTAAAAGTGTCCTCTGGCATCCACGTGTGTGTGTGTATGTGTGCATGCATACACACACACACACACACACACACACACACACACACACACACACACGTACACACATCAACAGATAAAAATGCAATTTAAAATGCCTTAAAATCAAGTGTGAATAAAAGAGAATAAAAGAGGCATAAGAAAAATCCCAAAGAAGGAGGAAGGAGGGAGAGGGAGAGATGGGGGAGAGCTATAAATAGAAGAACTTCTGTGGGCCAGGCACTTTCTTCTGCACCAACTGAGGAAGAAGAAACTGAGGCTCACAGTTTGGGCAACTCATCAAGATCCCTGAAGAATAAAAGTCACAGGAGTTGGAGGTAAGCTGACCCACCCAGCTCTGGAAAGACTGGCCTTTCCCTTTCAGCATTTCCTGCAGTGTGCCAGGATGTGGGTACTGCAAAGGATGGTGAGGTCGAGGCCACCCTTGGCCTGGGATGACAGCAAGGTGGCAAAATATTGTTCAAACGTTTGCAGCAGATGGCTGTAAAGAGGTTTGAGTGATAGGAACCTTCTTCTAAAAGAGATGGCAATTGGGTGTATGGGTTGTGGGTCTGAAGAAACTGGGAGCTGGGGCTCTCACCCCCTTGCAGATGGCCACAGCTTCTCGAGAAAGTGACTTGGGATAGGTGACAGTTTGTTCCATGATGGCTTGAAACAGCTCCTCCTCATCTTCCCCATCAAAGGGCGGCTACAAAAGTACGGAGAATAATGTCAGAGCTTGACAGGCTGCTTTTCCCAAACCTACACCCCTTCATTATCCACTTCAAACAAATGCATTCTGATAATGTGCCCCCACCCCCACCCCTATGGATGACTTTCCTGGGAGAAAAATTAGAAAACCATCCCACCTTCATCTCCAATTGCCTCTCACACATGCCCCAGTTCTGTGTACCTCTCTACTGTCTGCCTGTCTTTTCATGTTATGCAAATCAACAGATTGTTAATTAGGCAATATGCCATCTAATGAGAGAGGGAGGGAAGGAGAGACACACAGAGAGAGGGACAGAGACAGAGAGTCACAGAAGGAGAGACTCCCTGGAAATGATTATTCTCACTGAAAGCAGCTCAGTCTTCTGTGGTTAGGAAAGGCAATACAAAGTACAAGTTGGTTGTCTTGCTTGCTTATCTGATTGTTTTGAGACAGGATCTCATGTAGCCCAGGCTAGGTAGCCAAAGATGACCCTGAACTCCAAATCCCCTTATGTCCACCTCCCAAGTGCTGGAGTTACAGGCATGTAATACTACACACAGTTAACTTTCGAATTTGAAGAATTCTTTCTCGTGTGAATACTATGGCTATCACATTGTTCTGGAGAGTGTTGATATGGTTCATCAGACCGCCAAAGGGGTCCACAGGACAAAGATGAAACGAAAACCACACCGGCACGGTTAAGACAATGTTTCAGCACCATGGACAGCGCTGTCCGGCCCCCAGCTTCCCAGCAGACTGGCATGTTTTCTTAGACTGGACTACCTGTTCTTTCAAGAATAATGCCACATGAAAAGAGACATCCACTAAATGTGGCCATTAGTCAACTCAACACATCCCCACTTCCCCTTACCTGTCCTGCCAACATCTCATACAGCAGGACCCCAAAAGACCACCAGTCGACAGACTTCCCGTACGGCTGATAGGCAATGATCTAGAAGACAAAGAGAAAGTAAAGAGTGTGACTTTTTTTGAGACAGGGTCTCATGTAGTTCAAGCTAGCTTTGAAATAACTATGTATAGGAGGATGGCCTTGAACCCTTAATCCTCCCGCCTCCACCTCCTGAGTGCTAGAAATTCAGATATGTGGCACTGTGGCTGTGACTTATTTAAGATG